TCAGAAGTAGCCCCTGGCGTCCTGCTCTACGCCAATTCAGCAGAGACTTATAACCGGTAACTGCTACTTCCCGTGTTGTTTCGACGCTGTATGCGAAGCTGGAGTGTCCTCTCCTGAGCACGAAGCCTGGGTAAAATAATATGGAGGATAGGCTGTTACTGGAGGCTGTGTTCATTCTCTGTAAGAGTTTTTGGCTGGGAAGTAAGAGGAAGGTAGGCATTTTCTGGAGAAGTCTGTTTTTTCCTCTCTCTTTGTTCTGGCTCATCACATGGCCTAGTGGGAGGGCCTACTAGTTTGCATCCTGATTTTTTACTCTATGTCCAACCCAATATGCTGAATATGGATGGCCTGAAGGAGGGCAGAATTTCAGCTTTAAAAAGAGAATGAGGAGGAGAGTGTGTCACATGAAATCCCCTAATCCTATCTCTTACTTAATTTGGTAAAAGAGAGCAGGCCGGGTAGATGGGGCTCGTCAGCCCTGGAAGGCAGCCCATCTAGGAGAAGGAAAACTCCAAATTTAAACCTCCACTGCCTTGTGGCTATATCCACTTATGGAAAGGGCTTCAGGAGATAACCTCGAGGCAAAATCCGGAGCCGGAGTCCCGGAGGCATTTTCTTTCATTCTGCCAACTCCTGCGGCGTTGCTGGAACCAGTTGTATTGGCTCTTGCCTTTCCACTGGACCATTTCAGCGACGTGGAGAGGGGGGATTTGCTGCTTGGGTAACAGCCTATAATAAGTAATGGCTACTGAATTGTTATGTCTCACTCTGTAGCTGCAGATGCTTATCCACCCAGTCCCACCTGGCCAGTTCAACAAGATAGAGAGGTCTCACTTCCTTGCAGATTAAGGGGTTCTTTTAACCTTAAAAAGACAATTCCCTAACAGCAGAACCAGAGATTAGAAATGTTGGTTTGGACTATAAATTCCAGAATCCCCCAGCTAGCTAGGCAATTCTGGAAGTTACACTGCAAAGCTTTAGTTTTCTGAACTCTGACTGGAGACTTCCTTATATGCCTTCTCATCAACCTAGGAAAAGATCCATGTCTTGGTATGTTTTGGCAAGGGGAGCTTCTCCAGATTGGATCAGATAAGCTGAGAGATCTCCTGGGTCTCAAGAATTTCCAGGGCCAACAACTGGAATAAGAGAAACAGACATTATTTCATGGCAGTAGTTGAAAGCACACTTGAAGAAACAACACTAAAGTGCTTTTTAGTAACATCAAAACCTAAAACGAAAAGGCTCAGCTATATGCAGGATTATCTAGACTTCAACTAATGAGAGGTATCAGCGACAACGCATGATCTGGACCAATGCTCCTTATTTAATTGTTTTTTTAATCTGTTTTGTTAAAAAAAACTGCCTCAAAGTCAAATATCCAACCTTATTAACATATTTGTGAAGACATGCTGAGGGCTGATTCTCAATTTACATTTTGCATTTGGGTATAAAAGGCACATGTCTCTTGTTAAATACGAAGACAAGTACATGCCTCTTTAAAATATGCAAAAGCAACAACTGGAATGAAATGAGGCTTTTTGGACACTCTGAACTCATATCCTGCAGTCACATTCAGTTCCCATGTCTTTTAGCTCCCAAGGTACAAATCAAAACACAAAAGAGCTTATTAGTTGTTTAACAATCCCTGTGCAACTATAGATGCTTATGGCCACAAAGAACCCACTCAGCTGCCACTCAATTGCATGCTAAAAGTCTGCCTAGTACCAAAGCAAAACAGTTGTAAGGCCTTGGATTTCTTTAGGCTTTGGAGATGGACAAAGTAGGCTATCAACAAAAGCATCTTGTATGCAGTTTCACAAGGAATAAGTTCATTAGAAGCATGCTGAAATCTCAAAAGTTGGTTAACACTAAGGAACTATTTCAGAGAAGAGTGGAGGTTTTCTCTGCTGCTTGTGGCAGTTATTTCATTCATTTCATTGAAAGAGATTCCAGCTGCATTCTACTTCAAAGTTCAAGTATGGGTGCTTTGAAAAACAGTGTGAGAAATAAAACAGGTTAATAGGGAAAAGACCATCACTTGTGATTTTTCAAAGGCTGAAAGCCAAAACAGAGTCATTTGCAAAGCTCCTGTTCTTTCATGGAGCCCTCCTTCAGTATTCACTTGTCTGCCTAGGTATCTCTAAATACAGCTAATGCCTGTTGGCCAACGAGGCTAGCAAAATAATAATCATGCCTTCAATTCAATACAGTGGAATCTCGACCTTAATCTGTATTGGAACAGTGTTCGTAGGTCGAAAAGTCTGTAGGTCGAAAAAGCATTCCCCATAGGAATGCATTGAAAACCCATTAATCTGTTCCAGCCCTTTCTCCCCCACCGGGCAGCTTCTCCGCTGCTGAAACCATCATCGGGTGCAGCACTTTGGGAGAAGCCGTGGTGGGGGAGAAAGACCGGATCGGCTCCTGCCTTTACAGATAGGCTCCTGCCTTTCTCCCCCACCTCCCAGCTCCCTCCCTTTTCCAAACCATTGGGGCAAAAGAGCTAAAGCAGCAGCCTCTTCACCACCAACGGTTTGAATTTCCCGCCCTTTTTCCCTGCCTTTTTCATCCGTACGTCGAAGCTCTGGCCGCAAGCCGATCCAAAATTTTGTGGCTGGAGCTGTACGTACATCGAAAAGTCCATAAGTGGGGCATGAAACCTATCCCTTGAGAAATAAGAAATAAAAGCAAAATGTATGAGAATGGATAGACTACCAGCTACATAATCAATAATTAGAACAACAATATATCTGTCTGAATTTTATTTTCCCCTCTCGCTCACTGTTTATATTTCTTTCTCATATGTGGAACTATTACTAGAAGAGAATGTATAGAATTACTATGAAAAATATTGATCTGCAATGTATCCGTTCAATTCCACCTCCTCCAAGGGTATCCCTATCCCAGCTGCCCCTTACCTTACCCTACCTTTATATGGAAATTTAAAAAAAATTAAAAATTAATTTGGCCACTGGCCACTACCAGTGTTCTGGGTCCTTTAGTGAATACAGTGGAAGTTTCTGGGAGATTCTCCCATGCCTTTTAAATATGAAATCAAATATCAGGGGTGAAATAACATGTTTCTTTGTAAAATTTGTATCAGTTTGGTTCTATTTCTTTAACATTCTAGGCCACAATGGAAATGCTTCTCTGAGTTTTTTTTAAAAATTAGACACTAGGGTAAATAGTTCATATCTAAGCTTGGTGCAGTTTACTAACACTCTGAGAGTGTTCCTGGAATACAGTAAAGACCACCCTGCCTTTATAGATTGCAAGGGGAACATGGGAAGCAATAGGCAAACTGCATTTTCTTTGCTGCTATTGATTTTCTAATTCACAAGAGGGGATCCCTTTGTTATTTTATTTATATATCACATTTCTGAACTAGATTGATTGCATAAACAGGCTCCACTCCAAACACTGCATCAGATATTTTGCTACTTAGATGTAAGAGACAACTTTGCCCTCAGCCCAAACCTGCCCACTTCTCATATTAACTTCAAGAAATCTACTCCCTCGATTATATTCTGCCAGCAAGCTAAAAAAAAGAAGGTGGGCCTTCCTTCTTGCAAAAATATGGGTATAATGCTACTGATTTCGCCCATGAATTATTCAAGATCATTAAGAAAAGTTACCTGTCATTCCTGAAAATTTTGGGGAGATAGCGTCTGGGAAACCACATAGCCAAGGCACACATAAGAACCCAGAGTATAGCTAACTCATCAAGCATCTGACCCAGGAAACTAAGTGTAGCATGGAAGTAGACAGATCCAATTCCTAGAGGGATAGAGATAAAAGGCAAGGGATCACTTTAGTAATCTCAGTGAGGTTTAAAAACAGAAAATATGATTATGATTAATGTCAGAAAATTAGCATTCCTTAAATCAACTGAACAAACAGAATGAAAAGATATAAAACAAAAATCCTAATTAGTTACAAAACCAAGTTAACTTGAAACCAATTTATTTCTGAAAATCTTAAGCTATGTGGATTTTGTTTGAACAAGTTTTCCTGACAGACATCTTAACTCAGAAATAAAGTGTTTAAAAGTTTTCAAGTGGTGATAAAAGAAGTTAACTTATATATCTTCCAGTTTATTAATTCCACTAGTCCATTTGCCCACCATCTTCTCTTGCCTACTGTAAGAAACAAAGAGGGCTTTTGCCCTATGGTTATTCCTCACCAACTGTGATTGATTGACTGATTGATAGTGCAACAGCAACAACAACTCCCCTCCTCTCTAAGAGATTCTAAGGGAAAAAATTATAACTTCATGGGTCTTACTTGTTAATATCACAACAAACCTAAAGTTAGTCTAAGTTTAGCCAGTGAAGCTCATGGCCAAGTGTCAACATTAACATGGACTTTTCAAGTACTAATCCAGCACTCTAATAACTACTCCATATTTGATAAAGAATCTAATCACTGTATTTTAACCAGTACAGTACAGTGATTACTACATCACTAATCTCAGTAGAGCCTCTGCTCAGAGTTCCATCTATTGCCTAGGTAAAATCACTGTGTACAGAGAAGAAGCTTTTCCACTATGGCACTCATATTTTAGAAGAGTATTGAGTTTCTAGGCAGGTTTGAATAGTTAAGACTACCCTTCAAACATCAGACCAAGGATATGAACTTTTGGCCTTCCAGATACTTTGGACTTAGACTCTCAGATGTCCTAGCCATATGGCCAGTTATAAATGAATTGGGGAGATTAGCCCAAAACATTTGGAAGGCCAAAGGTTCGGCAGTCCTGCATTCAAAGCAACTTATTTTCTCCCTGTGTATGTATTTTAAAAATTACTAACAACTTCCTCATATACAGAGAGATACAGAAAAACTTACCGGCAACCACCATCAGGGTCCATATTAAATAAATTCCACTGTTGAAACACACTGCATATTGTCGGAATAAACACATACATATTGGTGGCAGTACAAAAAATAAAATGTTGCTTATCTGCAAGAAAGAATGAACAAATATCAAGTAAGCAGAAGGGAATGGTGAAATAGAACTCTTTTTGGAAGGAAGGAAGGAAGGAAGAAAGGAAGGAAGGAAGGAAGGAAGGAAGGAAGGAAGGGGATGGCAAAATTGTTAAAATTGTTGGACAACAGCAGAAGGCTCTATGGGCCCAAGCCATGGCACAGAAAGATTCCTGCAGTGTGTTGGTTGGCTTCATTGCCACTTCCTGACCAAAGAACACTAAAACAAAAATACAATCAAGGTGAAATTTGCAAGCTGAATGGATAAGAGATATATATTTACAAAAACAAAGACACAGAGGAGCAGCAGAGTATCATGATTTGGACTTTATGCAAATAACAATTATTGCAAAGGGTATCAACTGGTAGGATCCTAGGCAGCATCCACATGAACCAAAGCAATGTTGAGTACATCTCTCAGTTTAACTGGAATGGAGTGGGGCTAGGTCAGACAGCATAATAAAAAGAGATTCCAGAAAAGTCAGGCTTATTGGGACAGCGCAGCATGCCACTGCATTATTCCAACTCCACACACTGTTCTTCCTGCATGTAGGAGTGGCGAAACAATCAATGAATCCTCTGCCTGTGATTTGTCTCTCATGGTGTCCACACTGGGCCTTGCTTCCTTATTGAGAAGCCACAATGATAAACCAAGAATAAACTACAACTCAGAACTTTTTTTGGGGGGGGGGAATAAGACAACATTCCCAGTTCAAATGAGGGTGGAAAAAAATCAATGATTTTTAATAAAAATCAATTAGATTAAAATCATGATTTAATTTTTTTAATTTTTTTCTTTAAATCATTTAAAAATCTATTTTAAATTTAAATCATAATTTAAATAAATTTTAGCTAAATCAAATCCACCTGGTTCAAATATCACAATTATCAAAGCAGAAATTGACAGTTGGGGTTTTTAAGCCATGTCTTGATAACCCAGGCTACTTCAGAGCCCTTGGTTACAGTATTTGAACTAACTCAGTTTCCTCCTTTCACTAATGATTATACAGGATACAGTATACTGAAGGGCTACTAGGTTTTCTCCACAAGAAGAAACATTGGCTTTGGGTTATTTTTAAATCTAGGAAGAAAAAAGTATAGAAGATATTGAAGGCAAATTGCAAAAACTGCTGTCATTTTCCTTCCTGCCAAAAGATCCCTTGATTTGTTGATTGTGGTCTTAGAGTGCCCACAGATTTTCAATTGGCAAGTGCAATTTTAAAATGCGAGGGGGAGGAGGAGAAATATTATTTGGAGAATGAAACTGAAAACCCAGGATAACCACAGCTATTCTGATGTACTTTTATTCTGATGTACAGTTATTCTGATGTACTTTTACACTAGATTTCAGAGGCTTCAGTGACACCTCATCTCACTTTCCCCAATTCATGGCTTTTTGGAATCCCTGAAAGAGAGGATAGGGAGAAAAAGAAGAAAGATCTCAATATTCCACTCCATTCTTCTCAATTTCAAATAACAGTCTTGCAGTGTATTATTGTTTATCTGATTTTAGTTGTAAACCATTGAGAGTGGCCCTGGCAGCCAGATGGGCAGTATAAAAGTCAAATACATACATAGATACTTTTTTTTTTACAGAGATTAAATCCCACTGCATTTCCTACCTGTTGCTTTTCATGGAAGTACAAACAGTTGTTTGAGATAAGTTAATCCTTTTATTACACTTTAAATGGAAGTTAAAGCAAGAAATATCATCCTTAATTTTGTACAGATATTCATATGGTATACCCACTTCATACCTGTAATCTCTCAACCCAAAATGGACACGACGCAGAAAGAACTGCTGGCAGAATTTACTGCTTGGGTGTCCTAAGTGCCACTTATCACACCATAGTTTTGCCATGATTCCTGGTTCCAAATCTAATGGAATTTCCCTAGTTTTTGCCGCACTTGGTTTTGAGAGTGCCATTTTCTAATATTTTCCCAAGGATTCTGGAGAGGAGGGACCTTAAATCAGAGGCACAGCATACATTCTCCATACAGTGTCCCAAGTTCAACCCCATGACCTGCAGTGAAAATCTGAAGTAGTGGAGCTGACAAAGACCAAGTCCTTGATCAGAGCAGTCCACCCTGGGTAAGATGTGTCAGAGATCTTTAGAGTCACAGTACATCTATAGTATGCATAGATTTGGCAGATACAGAAGCTGGCAGAATTTTTTTGCAGCCTACCATCCTCAACTGCTTTCCAAATTTGCTTTTTGCTCCAGCGAAGAAACAGTACAGATATTATGATCTGCAAGAGGGACGGAGAAATCCTGTTGCAATATGTGCAATAATTATGACATTACCATCAGTGATAAATTGCTGCTGATTAAAAGTGATTTCAGGGTGTACACAATGTGATGAAGTGTATTCTTCTAATTAGAGATGGGTTATGTAGTCATGTCTTAACCATAGAGGAATCCATTTTGAGTCTGACACAGGCTAAGTTCTGGAAAATTACTAGTAGTTATTTTCAGCTTTATGTCGCTAACCTTATCGCTGCAGCTGGAGAGAAAAACACGGCAGAGTCAAAATATCTCTAACCTGAATGATAAACAATTCTTTGGTGTTGGTGGGAAAGTAGGGCGTACCCTATGCTAATTCTTTCCTTCGTGATTGGTTGAATATGTCAGGAAGGGGCAGGTTGGAGAAATTTACAAGAGGTTGGAAAAAGAAACTCTGAGAGAGAGAAGGATGAAGAGAGTTTTGGGTATCTGAAAACATGGCGTTGAATTTCTTTGATCCAGACGAAGGAACCTGATTTAACAATATGGACTGCGTAAGAATATCGTTTGTTTACCTTAATTTATAGTTTAGATTTTGTTTTGTTTAATAGTTAATTTTTATAGAAGGTGCTGAAACGTTATGCTGTTGCTTAGAAATGAAACTGTAGAGAAATGTTTTCTTTGTTCACTTAAATAAACTCATGTTGTTTAATAATTGGCCTTTCTAGTCCTTTGAACAGAACAGTTTCCCTATAGATAATAAATTTGGCTTACGTTACCAAAATGGAGTCATTGAACAGTAAAGATACGGCATTAAGTGGTCTCTTTTCAGTAAAATCGAAACAGCCTTAAATGCAGGTTTGCCAAGAGTTCATGTCCCGGAAACTGTGTTGACTCAAGCAGTTAACTTCAA